TTCTTCCATGTCAAATGAGACCTGGACAGCTCTTGTGCTCACTGGGGGTGCATCTACGCTGCACCGTTATTTCAAGATAACTAGCATTATTTTGAAATAACAATGCAAGCATCTACACAGTCATTCTGTTATTTCAAAATAATTTCAAAATAACGGACAGCTTACTCCAACTTCTGTAAACCTCATGCTTTGAGGAATAATGCCTATTCCGAAATAGCTATTTCAAAACAAGGCATGTGTAGACTCTCCACAGCTGCTATTTCGAAATAGCCCCTCATCAGGGCCATTTTGTTATTCCTGCCCAGTGCCTCCTGGGGCTCTAAATCTAAATAGCTTGTCTACATTAGGGAAGCCTGCCTCAGACTAATTTTGAATGTTCCCTGCAGTGTAGACATCCTATTTTGAAATAAGCTATTTTGGAACTAAGCATGCAGTGTAGGGGTGCATCTACACCGTAGACTTAACTCGAAATAAGCTACGCAAATTGAGCTACATCAATTGCGTATCTTATTTTGAAATAGGGAGCGTCTACACAGCACTATTTCGAAATAGAGCACTCTTCCTCCAACTTCCCTTACTCCTTGTAAAATGAGGGTTACAGAAGTCAGAGTAAGAAGTCCTCCAGCTTTGCAGTATTTTGACACTATTTCAAAATAACTGCCTGCAGTGTAGATGCGGACTAAGTTATTTCAGAATAGCGCTAGTGATTTTGAAATAGTGTTGCAGTGTAGACATACCCTAGACGTACCCTTGCCGTCTCATGCGCTTTTTAATGAGAAATTTGGAGAGTTAGTTCTTCATCCCAAAATAGACCTGTGGTTAGGGCGCTTACCTGGGTGCATGACCTTCAGGTTGAAGCTTGTGCTTTACCTGATTTGGAGCACCTCCTACTTGGGGTGCAGAGGAGCAAGGAGTTGAGCCAGTATCCTACATCCCAGGTAATAAACAAGCTATTGGCAGTTCTGGGATAGTTACTGTGACTAAAAAACAAACAAACAACTCCTACTCCTGTTTTGCTGAAAAAAATTCTGATCAGTTCTAGTAAATAGCTTTAGGCTGGTAAGTGCTGTAGGATTTCCATGATGGCAGAACTAAAGGTTAAAGCTAGGGGGAGATGATCAGACTTTTTGGTTGACCAGATGATATCAGCGTAGGCTGTCAAGGGTTCTGGGCCCACATCTGACATACAAGTTTTTTAAAAACTATTGCTCAAAAAACTATTATGAAAACTATTTTGAGCTATGAACTATTATGAAAACTATTAAACAAAAATAAAGAATGTATCACCAAAGCGGAAATATGAATAAAACCAATATAACTATTAAATCAGCAAGTTTGTCTCAATATTGGATTTGAGTTAAAAGCAAATCAAACTGATTTACATAAGAACCTTCCCCTCCCCCCCAATCTTTATAAATGCTAAGCAAAATTCTAAGGAGATGCTTATCCAAGAATTTTCAGAAACAGATCTTCAACTTGGAGCTGGTTAAATATATTGATATTCCAACCAAAATTATTATTACTGTCTGAACCACAACCTCAGAGCCAATTAAAAAGTTCCCTCGGCTTTCAGTTCTAGTCTGATGCCTAACCCTTCCCTTCCCACTTCCAAAGTGATGCCTTAATATAGATTCTAATCGGATAATTTGATAAGCATAAATCTGAGAGCTCTCATGTACCAAAATTGACATATGACAGTTTGGCCTTTTAAAACACAGAACACACTTCAATGACTATCTTTAGGCCTGTGAAACCTGGAGAACTTTCTTTCTGGCACCTTTCCTGTGTGGATACATGTACAACACAACCACCTACCACCTCCCCCCACACACACCTTAAAATTAAAGAATAAAAGGGTAGGATGTGTGTCAGCTAAAAACAAACAATCCAGAAGACAAAAAAGGAAACAAACCCCCAAGTTTCTTACGGGAACATGGGGCTCATGAACTCTTCAGATCTTGCAGTATACTGTACCAGACTCTTCTGGAGGAGGACCTGGCATTGCTGTCAATGAACCAGATGGCGATAATGCTGCCAAAATTATTCTCGCTAGCAGACATTCTCAGTCTTTTAACTTTGTTTCTTCAAGGTGACTCCTTAAGGTTTTATAAATGCCAGGCTTCCTCCCATTGGATCATTGACCTCAGAAAAGGAGACCTCTTGACCTCATCCTTTATTAATTTGCAAAAGCGACGAGGAGTCCTGTGGCACCTTATAGACTAACTGAAGTGTAGGAGCATAAGCTTTCGTGGGCAAAGACCCACTTCGTCAGACGCATGTAGTGGAAATTTCCAGAGGCAGGAATAAATATGCAGGCCAGGATCAGGCTGGAGATGACCAGGTGGATCCAATCAAGGAGGATGAGGCCCACTTCTAGCAGCTGATCTGGAGGTGTAAATTCCAAGAGAATAGAAGCTGCTTTTGTAGTTAGCAAGCCATTCACAGTCTTTGTTTAATCCAGAGTTGATTGTGTCAAACTTAAAGATGAACTGTAGCTCAGCAGTTTCTCTTTGAAGTCTGGTCCTGAAGTTTTTTTGCTGCAGGATAGCTACTTTTAGATCTGCAATTGTGTGTCCAGGAAGATTGAAGTGTTCCCCTACAGGTTTTTGTATGTTGCCATTCCTAATATCAGATTTGTGTCCATTGATTCTTTTACGTAGGGACTGTCCTGTTTGGCCGATGTATATAGCAGTGGGGCATTGTTGGCACATGATGGCATATATTACGTTGGTGGATGTGCAGGAGAATGTACCAGTGACAGTATGGCTGATCTGGTTAGGTCCTGTGATGGTGTTGCTGGTGTATATATGTGGGCAGAGTTGGCACCGAGGTTTGTTGCAAGGATACACTTCAGTTAGTCTATAAGGTGCCACAGGACTCCTCGTCGCTTTTGCAGATTCAGACTAACACGGCTACCCCTCTGATACTTTATTAATTTGGTTTGCTAGATTCAATTGTCTCTGTCTTACTGCGCTGCTCTCAGAGGGTATGTCTACACTACCCCGCTAGTTCGAACTAGCGGGGTAATGTATGCATACCGAACTTGCTAATGAAGCCCGGGAAATTCAAATCCCGGGCTTCATTAGCATAAAGCCGGCGCCACCATTTTTAAAAGCCGGCTAGTGCGAACCCCGTGCCGCGCGGCTACACACGGCCCGGGCTAGATAGTTCAAACTAGCTAGCTATTCCGAACTATCTGTATGCCTCGTGGAATGAGGTGTACAGATAGTTCGGAATAACTACGTAGTTCGAACTATCTAGCCCGTGCCGCGTGTAGCCGCGCGGCACGGGGTTCGCACTAGCCGGCTTTTAAAAATGGTGGCGCCGGCTTTATGCTAATGAAGCCCGGGAAATTCAAATCCCGGGCTTCCTTAGCAAGTTCGGTATGCATACATTACCCCGCTAGTTCGAACTAGCAGGGTAGTGTAGACATACCCTAAGGTCTTTAGACAGATCAGGCAGAACCCGCATGCTGGAAGTTACAACTTGGCCCTAGTCAGTGTCAATTTGGTCATGTCCTTCACTTGCCCATTTTTTAAATATTTGGTGTTTCTCTAACTACCTACTCCATGACTCCCCCCTCCAAAAGTATCAAATGTACAGAACACGAGGCCACTTTGACAAAGCTGCTATGGATGTCTGGGTTAATGGATGTTGCCACTTTATGGAAAGTTCCTCACAGTCCTACAAACATAATTGCCTGACAAATCCCTAGCAATTGCCAAAAGCCCCAGAATTCATCCATTCATCAGCAAAATTAAAAATAAATATGCACATCTGATGACTAGTTGTCATCTTTCTACTTCGAGAGAAGACAATTTACGGCAGTCTTTATATTTAGGAAGTGGGCCATCAGGCAAAAAAGCTTATCTTGGAAAGTTTCTTCTTGATAAAGAGACGTTAGTTTAAAACCTCTGAAGCTAAAACCATTTGGAAATATTTATATAAGCTCTGTGCTCCCAGGGCGCCTTTACACCAAAGCTGGGAGTGAAGCTCCCATCCCATGTAGACAGATTTGCACTAGCAAGGCTTGAGCTAGTGCACTAAAAATCATTGCATTGATGTTGCACCTCAGACTCTTGATTCTGAGCTTCAGTGGGTAGCCCGAGTCTCTGCTGTGAGGTGCACCAGCCACATGACTATTTTTAGTAGGCGAGCACAAATAAAATTAGACTCTCAGACTCATAGACTTTAAGGGCAGAAGGGACCATTATGATCATCTAGTCTGACCCCCTGCACAATGCCGGCCACAGAATCTCTCCCCCCCACTCCTGGAATAACCCTCTCACCTATATCTCAGATATTGAAGCCTTCAAATAGTTCAAAGACCCCAAGATGCAGAGAATCCTCCAGCTGTGATCTGTGCCCCATGCTACAAAGGAAGTTGAAAAACCTCCAGATTATCACCCAGATGCTATGTACACATACCTTTACCTGAGTTCTAGCACAATGCCAAGTAGTCAGGAGTTTACGTTTACATAGTTGCTGACCACCTGTGTGTGTTTGCATGGGAGAGAGGATAACATTTTCATGAGTGGCTTGGTAATTGTTCTTAAAGTGCACGAAACAATGTGATATCTGGTGAGCTGGACAGGATACAACAGGCTGTGACACTGACGTTTTATTTGTCTTAATTGTTTCCTCTGGAACCCGCCTATGGGACCCGCTCGACAACATAACTGCAATAAATAAAATAGCTTTGTGCAGCCTTGGGGGTAGAGAATTGTATCGGTGCAATATTACAGTGCTTTATCTCCATCTTTTCTTCATCCTGCCAACATCATTCCATACCAGGACAATTAAGCTCCTGGTGAGGTGCATATTTAAGGTGTCTAGACAAAAAGGAAGGTAGTTGTAACCACTGCGAAAGTGGTCTTATCTTCTGGCTTATTCAACAAAGCTGGTATCCGCTCATTCTATTGTTACATCATTGCTGATGGCAGACTACCTTTCTGTGTTGTTTCACCAACACTGTGATGATGCATATACACAGCCACTGGTGTACTGTCCAGAAACACTTCTGGCCAATGCTAATTGCTAAACTGCACAAGCCAGGAAGTAAGTGTCTGAACTTTGCAGAGGTCATAATTATAGACACAGCAGTGAAGCGTAGAAAGCTACAGAGACATTAGTGAATGAAACAGACAAGCTGGGTGTATAATGGTGCCATCTGCTGGTGTAGACCAATATTACACTGGTATTGTGTGGAAATTTCTAGTTAACAAGGAAACTGCATAAAGAAAGAACGCTCTGTTTAATGTTTACGTCAACCTGTGTTCAGTACCATCCTTATTTCAAGAAAAAATGCAATCACATCGCATCTGAATCTAGAGAATTACAGACCAGTCACACACACAGAGTATTGGAGCCAATGGGAGCTGTGAGACTGTGGTTATAGAGTTGGTAAGTAAACAAACTGGATGGCCCATTAGCAGCTCCCTCAAAGTGGGCTCATGGACCACTTTGAGAAACATTACAGTAGGCAGTAAAGACTGTGTCATGAGATGTCCTGCACAGTCTATAGGGGCTCTTTAAATAGGATCTGTGTCAATTTATTCACTGTCCCTGATTCACCATTGTGTTACATCAGTGTAACACCACTGCAGTCAATGGAATCACATTGCCTTCATGTGCTGTTGTAAGTCAGGCCCACTGTTTACAAAATTTCACCAGACGGGTCCCCAAGTCTCAGACAAGACTTCAATCTGCTTTTGAGAAGCGCTAACTTGAGCCACTGATACAGGGCCCTGATTAGACTACACTGGTGGAGAATTGCTATTGTATCACGCCCAATCCCTGTTCTCAACATGCCTTTTGCACCAGGTGAGGCAGAGGCACAATGGCTAGTCAGCCGAGTTCACTGTAGGTCAGCTATGGCCCTTTCCTATCCCCCTTATGCCTCCAGTGAAAAAAAGACCAATCTAACTGGAGACTGCAGCCCAAAATTCCCTTCCACTGGCCAACAATTCTAGTTGGGTATGAAAAAACCTGTCATTTCAGATTATTTTGGGCTTTTTGGCCCGTTTATTTCCATGGGTTTCTTTTTCTTCCTGTTCCCCTAATCCTGCTCCAAGAACAAAACTTCTGTTTTGAATACACACATATTTTGACAGAAGCTGTACTTATGCATAAATTTGGTGTTCAAAGGGGAATTCTGCCATTTGTTCAGAGTGAGGGAATACATTTAAGAATATAACTTTTTAACCCTCCCTCCTATTTTAAATCTTTTAGCTATAGGCAGAAGAAAAAAGGTTGGGAAAAACACAACTGTATTTGGAAATGAGCAACTGGCTGCAATCTGCAGGGACACACAGCTGAAAGCTTCATTTACATATGAAGAAGAAAGGGCGTATGGGCAAGCAACTCTTGTTGAACAATAACTACTTACTAATCTAACCAGCATAGCACTTCAAGGAGGCTGAGTAGGTGCATCTCTTATACTGCCTGGGAGACTAGGTTCAAATATCTGCTGTGCCTATTGTGAATCCAAGTCTCCCTCCTCCCATATAAATGCTACGGGGGAAAGGAGGGCAAGCAACCCCATTGGGTTTTTGGGGAGAAAAGCACCTAAGCAAGCCAGTCCTCACTCCAAAAGAGGGTTCATGGCTGTAAACCACAAGTGGAGAGACACACCTCCCTCTGGCTCAGAGTTAGACACCTAAATCTCGGGGGGGGGGGGGGTTGGCATTTCCTACTGGCTAATTTAGATGACTTCCTGATTAGCTTGATGGTGTCTCTAGATCTCTTTTCTTGCATGCTTAACCCTCCCCGTGAACAATATGGGAATCCTGGGGGCCTAGGAGCTGTTCGTTCTGGATGTACAGAGCTGTGTAAGGTATATATGCTTGGGTTCAGGCATATAGGGCATTCTATTCACCTAAGCCACACCTTAGTTTACACTGCAGTTTATGCCTGTGCTAGCTAGACATGCTGTATCTGTCCTCTATATAGCACCGTGAGCATAGATATGCTAGTATTGCCATGCCTTGCATGGCTGTGGCTGTCCAGGCAATACCCCCCTATGTCTACAGTGCCTTTATTAATGAGGTATGGTCTTACTGGCTCCTGGATGCCAAAGCCTTTCCCCACCACTGGAGCTGCAGTAGAGAGGCAGCAGGGAAAAGCTCCCACAATGGAGCAATGCCAAAGCCTTTCACTGTGCAGTGCCTATAGTCTACATTCCACCGTTAATGTAGTCATAGCCTAAGTCACATGATCTCGTCATGCTTGTAACATCATGTCATAATATTTGCATGGCAATGCACTATGCAGGGGCCTGGGTTTTTGAGATAAGCAGCAGAAATCTAGTCAGGTATGTTCTGGGCTGCTTTGCACAAGAGACATCTTATATCAGAGATCAGTGATGTGACAGTATGCCCCTAAACAGTGATCAAATTCAACACACAAAACAAACCCTCAGAGTGGTGTGTGAATTTGTCAGGCCTAAACCAAAGGTAGAGACAATCTTACCCTCGAGGTGGAAGGAGGTGCCTCTAAATTAAATACAATTCAATTTCCTTGCTATCTCGAAATAACTGTAGTCACATCAAATTATTAATGGAAAACGCATAGTGTGTAATACTGTCTCGACGCAGGTGCTATTTCCCCAGTGAATGCCAAACAAGCATCTAGGCTCTTCACTACACCATTATCCCTTTTGATTCTAGTGCATTACATCACTGCACATCCTTTATGCAGTCATGTTGGCACACAGGGAAGAAGCTTGTTTCTTCATTCCTTTCTCATTTATTGCTATTTCTACCAGCTCTATCATGTTCAGATTGACTCTTTTGCCCTCTCTGCTAAAAATTCTTAAGGCTTCTTTTGGGTGCTCTCATTTCCTCACACTGATTGGTTGCCTCTTGGCAGCTCCATCTGAGAGGCCGTGGGTATGTCTAGACTACAGAGTTTTGTCAGAAAAACAGCCATTTTTCTGACAAAACTCATGGAACATCCACACTGCAAGCATGTTCTTTAGAGAGTAAATCGAAAGTACAGAGGAGTTCTTTCTACGAGGAATACCAATACCGTGTAGTCAGGGAAGAGGGAGTTTTTTCGGAAGAAGAGGGAAGAGGGAAAAGCAGAAGTGCCCTGGTGGCCATTCTGTCCATAGCAATCACTGCTTACATGTGAGATAGCATCCAGGCAGTCTGGATACTATCTTTTGAAAAAAACGCATTGCTTTTTCGATGCGCATTTGCCGTGTGGATGCACTCTTGCACAAGAAGTTTTTTCCAAAGATCTCTTCCGAAAAACGTTTCTTGCACAAGAAGCCTGTAGTCTCGATGTAGCCCGAGTATTAGCATATGGAGCACAGGGTTCAAATACATCAGATGCTTCTTTCTGATTCTGATGGCTACAAGCTGCTGATGAATGACTCCTTAAAACTTTATTTGTGACGAAATCTTTCCAACGGATTCCTGACATCATTTTCAGGCATTTATTTTTGAAGACATCTAGTTTTCTGTTTAATATTGTAATACAGGATGAACCTCTCTAATGTGGCACTTTCTGATCTGGCAACATCCCTGGCCTGGCATGATTTTAGTTAGACGGATACTCCCTTATCATGGGTGTGGTCAACTTTTCCACAATCCCATAACATTTGTTTACAGCCACCAGCCCTGGTTCTCAGTGTTCTGTGCTGCTGTTTAGCTCAAATTTACCCCTAAATGTCTAAGAGCCCAGCATGCAGTGCTGGTACTACTGTGAGATAATATTAACTCTTGTGGTCTGTTTTGGCACTGAATTCTCTGGTTTGGCACCAGTCTGGTCCTCAGGATGCCAGATTAAAGAGGTTCAACCTGCAGATCTACAGTTCTCACAGCAGTATGTTAGTGCTCAAGGTATGTTTGAGCTGAAAGTTCTCAGTTTTGTTCCAGTGCCGTATATCTTTCATTTCCATACATTGTTGAGTTGAGTGCATACCTTGCCTATCCTTGCTGTCACTTCCTTCTTGAAACCTCCATTGGCCAATATGGCTCTGACCAGACAGGTGAACTGTTCTATTTCTGTAATACTGTTGACTTCTAGTGCAATTTATTGCTTGATATTGGGGTTACAAAGATGCTTATTTTGGTATAACTGATTCCGAGCCCTGCTTGGTCTGCTGTTTTTGTTAGGTTGTCTGTCTTTGTAGCTTTTTGTGAAGGTGTTGCTCATTAGAGCAATTTCATCAGCAAAGTATAGATTTTGTAGGCCTCTGCAATCTACTCATGCTATATCATTGAGGTCATACGTTGCTAATCCATTTCTTCGTTAATCAGTGTGTACCAACGCCACACAACCGTGGGGGGATCAAATTTCAGTGTAGCCCTGTTACTCCCAGTCATGTTTGGAACATTCTGTTGCCTGATCACTCACACTAATGAGCACTTGGCAGCTCTATACATGACCTTGAGGATGTCGATGACTTCAGTGTTCAGGTTGTCAAATACCTTTCAAAAGCTAATCATCAATAAAAAGGACAATGAGGAGCCTGCCATTCTGCATGTTCTTCTGTGATGCTCCTTGATGTGGATTTTTTGAGCCTGAATCTTCTCTACTTCTT